ACAATTCAGATATTGTAACATCAGCAATAACAACAAAAATATACTGTAGCTTACTATATACTTCAGAATTAGTTTTCCCTAACGATTTAAAAAAAAATATGTAGTGTAGACCAGAAGACATGGCAGGATGTGCAGAATACCCCCGTTGAAAAGCAGAGGTGCAACAGGTACTCTGAGAGAGAACTCTATCAACATCAGAGGCCCGAGACTGTTCAACACGCTTCCACTACACATAAGGGGCATAACTGGCCGACCCCTCACAGTGTTCAAGAGAGAACTGGATAAGCACCTCCAAAGGATACCTGATCAACCAGGCTGTGACTCATACGTCAGGCTGCTCGCAGCCGCGTCCAACAGCCTGGTTGATTAGTCCAGCAACCAGGAGGCCTGGTCGACGACCGGGCCGCAGGGACGCTAAGCCCCGGAAGCACCTCAAGGTAACCTCAAGGTAAGGTAGTGTAATCTTTTCTATCACTTCCCCCAAGGAAACTAGAAGTGCTTCAATGTCACCCAGGGATAAGCAAGCAATTATCAAAACACTCAGTCGCAAAGGCTATAAAGCACTACTTTCTTAGTGCTTTACCTGGTAGGCAAGACTGTTATATCACGCAGTTCTATAATAGATTGCGTATTATAATCTATCTTCTAATAAACTACCTTCGTATGCATTAGACGTGCTAGAAAATGCCTGGGTTACGCTGCCATGCAATACATGCACTTACTGAATGGTGTGCAAGTCTCGACATTCTAATTACTAAATTTATTCCCAAACATTACTAAGTTTTTACTTTCATCAATGATCCAGAATCAATTTTACAGTAATAACTTAATTGTGTTTAGTAGCAGTAATAATAATTAATGGTAATGTCTTAATTACAAACATAATAACATGGGATAAAAACCCACACTTATCTGTGTAATTTATGTAAAGATTTTCATCTAGTCTTTTACACTCTCCTGAGTACATTATCGAGGTCTAAGTGTCTGGTCTGGAGGAGACTTGCACCTCAATGTTGAGATGCTAGTCTCGTCCTCACCATACACTCAGACCTTAATAGCTGAATGATGAAGATTAAGCCACCCAAAAGGTGGCACGGGCATGAATAGCCCGTAAGTGGTGACCCTTTTGAGCCATCACCAGTATCAAGAGATGATACTGGAGATCTGTGGAGGTGTGAGTGCACCCTGCTTGACGGGAGATATCTCCCGCGTCCTTAATAGCGCATTCAGGAGACTGCGCAAGACTTGGCGACATCTTTAAATGATTTTGGGGCTTAGCGTCCCCGCGGCCCGATCCTCGACCAGACCTCCTTTTTGTTACACACCCCTCAGGAAGCACCCCGTAACAGCTGTCTAACTCCCAGGTACCTATTTACTGCTAGGTGAACAGGTGCATCAATGTGAAAGAAACTCTGCCCATTTCTTTCTGTCTCCTCCAGGGATCGAACCCAGAACCTTAAGACCACGAATCCCAAGTGCTGTCCACTCAGCTGTCAGGCCCCCTGGCGTAGTTCAAATCTTTACATAAATTACAACATACATAAGTTTGGGTTTTTCATTCTAAATCATAATAATAATAATAATTTATTTATTTCTTTACACAACTGTACATACACATGATACATGAACAGAGAAAGATACATAGGTAAGACAAGTACAAAGCATAAAGCCAATGATACGCAATGCATTTTGGGCATAAGATAATTGTTAGGTTGTTCAAGGGTTTGATGAGATATACACTTAATACTTAATAAGGAGGTTAGCATAAACAAAATTCAAGACACTTTGCAAATGTGACTTTCTGAAATTTGACAGTTTTCTATTGAGCCATAAATGATTTGGTAGACATCTTGCATTCGCATAATAATTTGATTAAAAGCTTTTGCTAAAGATTATTGGGTTCCTTTCTGAAGAGCACAAATCCCTGATCAATGAACATTTACTGATCTGCTGCCAGAAATTTTAGCCAAATATTCCCAGTTTGCTAACTGTAGGTAGTAACTGAGTGATTGTAACCTATCCACCGCTGCCCACTGGATGGGGGGCGGTGTGCAGGACAAACATATCAATTGTGACACTAGCTCTCCACATATGTCAGTTGCTTAATTTAGAAACTGTACTTGTGGTCGATCTCGAACCCATTGTTGATGTGACGACTTATACTGAATTTTGTAACTAGCTCATCAAGATTATAACTTGCTTAGCTAAATTGTGTAGTTCAGTCCCTGAGCCCATTATGTGCCTCTGTAACCCTTTCCTCTACCGCCCACAAGACGGGTATGGGGTGCATAATAAATGAACTAAACTAGACTATGAACATTTACACTTGGGAATGGAATAAATTTTAATTTTTAGCCACAAGGCCTTCTAAACAAACCATTTCTTAAGTACAAACATAACAGTGCTTATGTATAATTTCCTATGTTTGTTGAAGAGAAATGCTTGAATAATGGTCAGTAAAGAAGAGAAAGTATGAAAGTATGCTGGTGGTGCACCAGACCCCATTCATCATAGTCTCATTTAGTAATTATACCTCTTTGCTCTTCAAAAACATCAACACACATTACCTGAAATTATCCAAGAGCCTCTCTCTCTCTCTCTCTCTCTCTCTCTCTCTCTCTCTCTCTCTCTCTTCTCTCTAGAGGCCACTATGATAACAGGAAGCTGGCGGCTTGTCAAAGGCCCCCCTTTCCCTCATTTGTCCTGATTATATCGAGGTAGATCTTGAACTGCAGCAGTGTTTTGGCATTTACAGCTTCAGCAGGTAGGCGGTTCCTTGGGTTTATAACACCGAGTAAAAAAAAAAAAAACAGAACAAAAAAGCACTTTGGGTCTGCATTATGAGCGGCTGACTTAGAAACTCCCTTAGGAATGTATTTCATTCCTAAGCAGAAGATTACCTGCAATGCAATGGAACATCAACTTGCAAATGATGAGCAACAATAATGTGCATGAAGATTAGAGACCCAACCCACAAATCTGAAAATGAAAAATTAATGACATTTTAGTCCCTCCTGGACCATTATTAAGTCCTGTAACATATACGACTTGATAATGGTCCAGGATGGACTGAAACGTTGTCAATATTTTCTTTTCAGATTTGAGGGTTGATCATCATACTATCAACATATTACATGAGCTTGCTTTTGAAGAATTTCCAAAATACTGTGAATAATGTGTTCAACTTCTGAACTTACACAGTTTCTGTCACCACTTATCAGTACATTATTCAATTCCATCTCATCTGTAAAATAAATCGAACTCTATCACTTAATAAAATCAGAAATAAAATTGATAGTGAAAATTATACTTTTTATTCAAAAACAATATTTTATTATGTTCCTCCCTCAACATTGAATGCCATTCAACATATAACAGTCATTTTCTATATCTAAAATGAGTAATATTAATGGTAATTTTTCTTTACATGTTTTCCTCAGGTAATCAAAATACTTAGCCTGAAATAAAGTCAAATATAATATAAAATTCTTTTGTTGCATCTAAAGCAAGAAAATGCAAAATAGAATTATAACAAAAAATTCATGCATAAATTGTGTATGCAAATGCAAAATTCTTAGCATTATTTTACAGCTGTCTTCAGAAACATAGATTTTAAAACGGTCTTGAGCTGATAACTAATTACACCTCACAGTTCCTCAGCATTTCATCACATTTCAACAGAACTCACAAATATGATGACCTATCTTGTGATGAGTCTAAGATAATGGACTATAAATTAAAAGTCTTAATTAAATCCTTGTAACTACAATTCTGATAAGAATGTTTGAGGCCATACAAAATAAATACAGCATTTCAGTCAAAAATCAGTATGGTATCCCCAATACGAAGCTGAAAAGGATACATAAGCATATGTAGAAAATATGGAAATTGTTTTTCCAATTACTTCTGAACAGAATTCTCTTCAATGCACGGTAATTGGTGAAGATGTATCCTACTTCACCGTCTGTGTTAAGTGCGCTATATAGACACAGTCAATTGAAAAGTTGAAAGTCCACATCTGTTAAGTCTATAACCACATGACTGAACTGGTAACAATATTTCAGAACATGTACATGTACGTGTGGGTATATATATATATATATATATATATATATATATATATATATATATATATATATATATACATATACATATATATATATATATATATATATATATATATATATATATATATATATATATATATATATAGTCGTACCTAGTAACCTAGTAGCCAGAACGCACTTCTCTGCCTACTATGCAAGGCCCGATAGATTTTCTTTCTTTTTTCAACAAATTGTTTCCAATTGATTTATTTGAATTATTATTATATTAATAATATAAATTATTGACTTAGTTATGTTAGTTTAGGTTGGGTTATGCTAGGTTAGGTTAGGTTAGGTTAGGTAGGGTTGGTTAGGTTCGGTCATATATCTACGTTAGTTTTGACTCAAATTTAAACAAATGAAGTCATACATAGTGAAATTGATAGCTTTATCATTTCATAAGAAAAAAATTTGAAAAATAAATAAATTCAGGAAAACTTAGCCTATTAAGCAAATCGGGCCTTGCACAGTAGGCCGAGAAGTGCCTTCTGGCTACTAGGTACATTATATATATATATATATATATATATATATATATATATATATATATATATATATGTATATACATATATATATATATATATATATATATATATATATATATATATATATATATATATGAATGCATGTGTGGGTGCATGTGTGTGTACATTGTATGTGTGTATATGTGTACATACGTGTGTATATGTGTACATACATGTGTGTGTACATGTGTATGTGTACATACATGTGTGTGTACATGTGTATGTGTACATGTATGTTTACGTGTGTGTGTGTGTGTGTGTGTGTGTGTGTGTGTGTGTGTGTGTGTGTGTGTGTGTGTCTAGATGTGTGTGTGTGTACATGTGTGTGTGTTTACATGTATGTGTTTTTACATGTATGTGTGCTTTTACATGTGTGTGTGTGTGTGTGTGTGTGTGTGTGTGTGTATATGTGTGCATGCTTTCACTTGCATGTCAACACTCTGAGACCACTAACGTCTGCACTAACAAGTCCTATTACTGAGACGCTTTTAATTGTGCTATTCATACTCATGCCTCAAGTGCTCTCGCAACTCCTAAATGATATTCTTAACATTTGCAGAAGAAGAGTCACAATAATGTGGCTGAAGTAAGTTGACCAAACCACACACTAGAAAGTGACGGGATGACGACGTTTCGGTCCGTCCTGGTCCATTCTCAATCGATTTGAGAATGGTCCAGGACGGACCGAAACGTCGTCGTCCCTTCACTTTCTAGTGTGTAGTTTGGTTAATATTCTTAACACTGTCACAAATGCTTCGAGTACTAAAGACTCCTCTGCACGTCATCAAATATTTAGCCTTACTAGGTTCCGGTACTATGTTTCGGTATTATGTTCCAGTACAATGATCCAGTACTATTGACAACTGGGCGACGAACCAATGACACGCCTCTACAACTTTGAGGCAGCACCTACATATGGATATACCTTCATTATCAAATGACACATGAGTGAAAAGTAAGGAAATGCTCCATACATCATTACTGCCTTATGCTTAGACTGACTTCTAAATACTGCTATAGAAAAAACTTCATATTTGGCCAGACTACTTGTCTAGGCAACAATAACTATGTTAACACTGGCAAAATACTTTACGACTACACAACGAGTTAAGATCTTGACTAAATTATGACAATATTGAAAGTCAGAACCTCTCTATAGCTGTAAGGTCAATATTGGCATTTTTTAATGGACTTCACAACTCTATGACTACAAATGTTGCCTTATCTAAATTAAAAGGCTTGGAAGCTCTGCCATAACAATCAAATTGTGTTGAAATCACTGCCTGTCACTGTAATGACAAGTGGCCATCAATTTCCACCCACCTTTGTGATAAGCTTCCAGCATAACAGGATATGGTGTGCAACTTCATATTAAAGTACATTTAAAGTACATTTAAAGTACATTTAAAGTACATTTAAAGTACAATCGCCTCATCAGCAGCGGCGGCGGCGAGCTACACATTTTAAAATCACAGTACATAGCAAAAAGACTGAATACTAACTGCTACAGAATATTGTGCACCATATTCTGTTGTGTTGCACGAAGGCTATATGTGTGTGAGGTGAGAAATGACAGCAATAACAGTAGCAAGTATACCTAGCTTCCATCAGCACTAGCCAGGAAGAGGAAGTAAAATGAAGTCATCCTATTTGACTGCATTTCAAGAAGGCTGCACTTTTTTTTTTTTTGACACTAAATGCTTGAAATATTTACAAACTTTTAATCTTCCAATTTAATTTGACGTCCCTTAATTCTCTAATTATAAGTTATCTTTATTTAAAGTCTGACATCAAACTTGATTAAAAGTCAAATTTTAAAAGTCAATGCAATTAAGAAAAAATTCACAACATACGAGAAATTAATTATTGAACTAAACAATTACAAAATCATTTAAATTAATTTTCAACCACCAAAAAAGTGCACATTTTTATGACCTTTATCAAGTGCATATAAAATGTACACTTTTTTCGAAGTGCATATTTTTATATGCACTTCCAAAAAGATTATAATTATAACTAGACTGAACCTAATGAACTTCTATTTATTCACGAACTATCAAGCATTAAACTTGGGAATTGTTGAGAAAAAACTCAAGAGATATTTTTACACTGAATTTCTAAAACATTGAAATGATAATTTGGACTCCGAGACTCTCAAACACTAGCGAGGAACACACACACAACTGTGTCTTGGTACCGAGGCCTCAAAACTCGAGTCTTCACTCGGAACTCTCAAAACCTGAAGCTTGCAAAATGTATCCAAGGCTCTTAAGAGAGTTGCAGCTGTGAGCAATAAGGACACGAACATATTTTGAATCCCTCAGAAGAGTTGAGTGATATTTGTGCCTTCCACAAACTTTCAAGCTTTACAGTACTGTACACAATGTATAAATTAATAAAGCCGTAGAACAGAATTCAATTCCGTCGTATAGCCACAATATTTAGTCATAGATTCATCACGTTGTGATTTTTCATTGTGTACTGTACGGTATGTTAGTGAACAACAGGGACAATTACGTTACTTGTGTTGGAAGCATGCTGGTCACATTACAAAAATTCTACTCCATTATAGTGTACTAAACCTATCAATACACAAAGGCAAAACACAATATTCTTTGGTATCTGTTCAGGATCCCACTCTAAAAGGACTATACATTAAAATTCTCTGATCTAATGGAAGGATATAAAATAAAATCTCGTAAAGATTTCTTCTAAACATCTTTGAACTCTAACATCTCAACCATAAATCTGTAACCATATTAAATGTTTGAAATACAACAAAAGCCTCTTAAGAACATATTTGTATAACCACCCAAATGCTTCAGTTAGTGATGTTAATGAAGGTTTATGCTTATGCTAAAATATGAAATTCAAATATTTTCACATTAAAATAATGATTATTATATATGTAAAACAGTTCTCTACAAGGCAGTAAATTATATTAATATTTAATAAATGCTTTCATTTCTAAACAAAAAAATTTACAACCTTCAATTCTGCAGCACTTAAAATTGCAGGATATGACCTTTAAATACCTAGTAAGCTTGAGATAAATACCCTAAAGCTTCAATGGGCGAGCTCAGTAAGGGCTTGGGCACTCGGGTGGGTTGAGGTAGCCAAAGACATTGAGCTCGTACAGGCTGGCAAATATCATAAATATGAGGTACCAAAACATAAGCACCACGCCGTATTTTTTATCCAGCTTCCAGCCATTCATATGAGTGGCGACGATCAAGAAAATCACCGTCGAGAAGAGCGAGACTGTTGAGTACGTCAGACCTGCAGACACAAAAGTTAGTCGAGGGATTTGTGTGTGAATTTGGAAGTAATGTAAATGGAAGTAATGATTATATATAGCATAAACCTCAAGTATAACTATATAATCACCATGAGGGCTATATAGCCCTTCGTGGCCCTCAATGGATGGGTGTGGGGAGCAAGATTGGCAAATTATATTTGTAACTTGTGTGACAAACATTTATTCTTTGTGCTAGGGCCTCTTTAGGTGACGGTAATGTTAGTGTAACAAATTTTGATGATATTATTGCTTTATTTATACTGCCTGATCTGCTGTCCTCCTGTGCAAGCGTATTTGAGGCGGTTGAGAGCAATAAATATTATGTTCTTGTCGTTTTAGACCCAACTAAGCTGTTTGACACTAGACCCAACTTTGCTCGCCAGGAAAGTTGAGGTCAACAGCACTGGAGGGTATGTTCTGAATTGGATAAGAACCTGGGACCAGATTCACGAAAGCACTTACGCAAGCACTTACGAACCTGTACATCTTTTCTCCATCTTTGGCAGCTTTGTTTCCAATTATTAAACAGTTAATGAGCTCCGAAACACCAGGAGGCTGTTTATAACAATAACAACAGTTGAATGGGAAGTTTTCATGCTTGTAAACTGTTTAATAAATGTAACCAAAGCCGTCAAAGATTGAGGAAAAATGTACACGTTCGTAAGTGCTTGCGTGAATCTGGCCCCTGGTTGAAGGCCAGGTTGACGACAGGATTCAGAGTATTTGTATCAAAAATCTAAATCAGAGTGGAGAAATATGTCACTAGTGGGGTGTCTGAGGGGTTTGTTTTGGAGCCTTTGTTATTGATATGTATTATGAACTTAGATGTTCATAGTATGAACCTAGATGTTGAAGGCAAGCAAGAGCAAAGACCTAAATTTAGGAAATGACAGTGGTCTTGTTTACCAAATAATTTATGCTGAATCTGGTAAATTGAGTTAGAAGAGACTAGGGCTTCATGCCTGGCAATGATGTTAGACACTGAAAACAATAATACATTTTCTAAAGATATATCCAACAATGATAACCAATACAGAGTAATCCAGTCACTTTACCTCTGCTCTCAACAGGGACAGTGGTTCCGGGGTAGATGATAGCAGTCTTGAAGAACCAGGGCAGACCCAGACACAGAAGAATGTCAAACACATTGCTTCCAATGGCGTTGCTTACTGCCATGTCGCCAAAACCTGTAGCAAGAGTGGACGTTACCTACCCTTGCAACTCACCATTTTTACGAGTTCTATACCTGCCAAGTGTACATTTCCAGCTTAAGTAGGATAGCTATTTAAGTTGGAAATTAAGATTAAATTATCCTACTTAAGCTACTACTGATCCCGCTCTCCTGGATCTAGTTTGAATACTGTTTATCTTCACATTGTGCCTAGAGATAGTGAGCTTCTAAGAGAGGTACTGTAATCTGATCTTCTATATTTTTATAAATAAAATACTGTATTATTATTAATATTATGCTGATGTATGTGCCAGCCTCATACACCAGCATAGCGCCTCACCACACACACACACACACACACACACACACACACACACACACACACACACCCTCAAACCTCACCATACGCACACCCTCACAACCCCTCACACACACACACACACACACACACACACACACACACACACACACACACACACACACACACACACCCTCAAACCTCACCATACGCACACCCTCACAACCCCTCACACACACACACACACACACACACACACACACACACACACACACACACGGTCACGTACCCTGCTTGGCCACACAGAGAGAGGACATAGCGTCAGGTGCCGACACGCCCACAGCTATCAGCGTCAGACCCATCACGGTGTCGGGAATACCCAGGGTGAAACCTGCAACGGTTAACTCATTATAATCATCCTACTTATATGATGAACAGTAGTATGCGCCCCGGACACACTGACCTTTATCGCTTACACTCTAACATTTATTGGGGGGGGGATTTCCTACCCTTTTTAATTCTATAATTCTATAATATAATTAATTCTATACATATAATCTAATGTAAGTAGAAAAATGACGGGGAGAAGCTAACTGTATCCAGTTCGGGGAGTTGCTAACTGTATCCAGAGGGTATAGTTTGGTCGTGATCTGTACACCCCGGAGAGTATCTGGGGTGTACACACACACCCCGGAGAGTATCTGGGGTGTACACACACACCCCGGGGACCATCTGGGGTGTAAACACACCCCGGGGACCATCTGGGGTGTAAACACACCCCGGGGACCATCTGGGGTGTACACACACCCCCGGAGACCATCTGGGGTGTGTACACACCCCGGGGACCATCTGGGGTGTACACACACCCCGGGGACCATCTGGGGTGTACACACACCCCGGGGACCATCTGGGGTGTACACACACCCAGAGAGTATACAGAAGGGGTTCCCATTCTCCACTTTTGTGGTATACAGAAGCAACAGCCGGGAGCAAAAAAAGCCAAATAGAAAAAAAAAGACTAAATATCATATAATCATATATTCTCAATCTTGAATAAATGTTAAGACTTTAGAACTATTTTTATCATCAAGAATTTTAGAATTAATTAATATAGTAGAAAGCATCTACCTCAACATTTAATGAGTAGATTACCCATACAACCATCTTGGAAATACAAAATTGTGATGAATAGGTATTGTATTATACAAATTTTGTTTTAATTCCCAGTGAAAGTCTTCCTCAGATTTGCACTTAAAGACTACAGTAATTGGTTTGATCCATGTACTATTATTTACAAGGGAAAACATGGATAAAATTATATACAAATTAATGTATTTATTCACACACTTGAAACACTAATGTTTATGATCATGAATGTGTATTGATACACAAGGTACACTACCACACCATACACACGCCGTACCGATAATGTTTATGATCATGAATGTGTATTGATACACAAGGTACACTACCACACCATACACACGCCGTACCGATAATGTTTATGATCATGAATGTGTATTGATACACAAGGTACACTACCACACCATACACACGCCGTACCGATAATGTTTATGATCATGAATGTGTATTGATACACAAGGTACACTACCACACCATACACACGCCGTACCGATAATGTTTATGATCATGAATGTGTATTGATACACAAGGTACACTACCACACCATACACACGCCGTACCGATAATGGTGATCATCCACACCATAAGGTATGAATAAGCGGCGATCCAGAACATGCTCATGATGAATGTGATGAGGTGCCAGCGACGGAAGCGTTCCCTGCGGCAGTCCGGGGTGGTGAAGTGGTGGAGTGCCACCAGGGGCAGCGACAGTGCCCACCCCAGGCGCTCACACACCCCCACGGGCACTGTCCACGGCGACACGTCGTCGTCCTGATCACCACAGACACACACAGAGATTTACAGTAAACAAAAAATATATATACACAAAAAAGTTTGTTTTAACTTGCAAATAAATGTTTGTAATTACAAGGGACATCAATAAGAGGGTCTCTTGGTACAGTTGATCACGGGTTCGACTCCCCAGCGGGCTGAAATGGTTGATCACGTTTCTTTTCACCTCATGCCTCTGTTCACCTAGCAGTAAATAGGTACCTGGTTCCTGTACCCAACAAAACCTATTATAAATTATCTTCTCCTTCGGGCTTAATTACAATTTTTAATTCAGATTTAAGTGCATTTAAATGTCTACTTTTAGAGTACCGGGAGTTTAGGGTACCGGGAGTTTAGGAGTACCGGGAGTTTAGGAGTACCGGGAGTTTAGGAGTACCGGGAGTTTAGGAGTACCGGGAGTTTAGGAGTACCGGGAGTTTAGAGTACCGGGAGTTTAGGGTACCGGGAGTTTAGGGTACCGGGAGTTTAGGAGTACTGGGAGTTTAGGAGTACCGGGAGTTTAGGGTACCGGGAGTTTAGGGTACCGGGAGTTTAGGGTACCGGGAGTTTAGGAGTACCGGGAGTTTAGGGTACCGGGAGTTTAGGGTACCGGGAGTTTAGGAGTAGGGTACGGGAGTTTAGGGTACCGGGAGTTTAGGGTACCGGGAGTTTAGGGTACCGGGAGTTTAGGGTACCGGGAGTTTAGGGTACCGGGAGTTTTAGTTCTCATAATTTATAATGTCTAGATTCTATTTGTATTAATTTCAATATTATTTTCATTTGTTGTCAATAAGTCAGAATATAATGTCTTGTACCTGACCCGAAGGATACCCTATTTCTAGTGGTCTCCCAGGGTATGGGAAGCCGGCGGCTTGTCAAAGATACCTCACTGTTCCTGGGGACTTTTTCTAACTGCATTTTGGGCTGAAGTCTTGATTTTAAGTCTTAGGACTTAGGGCTTGAAAAGGGTATGGGGCTTCTCATGGGTGGCTGACGCGACAGTCCTGCCTGTTCTTATATATTCCTTCCCTATTCTTACATATTTCTTCCCTATTTACTTAATTCCCACCAACCCTTATTGACAATTTAATTTCTAATGGTAATTTCTGTGTAACTAGTTCTTGAAGACTAACTTGCTTAGTTAAATACATTTTGTCATTCAGTTTGAGCATTTTTTTGCACTACCTCCAACAGGATGGGTATGGGGTCTGCTACCACTCATAGGATGGGTATGGGGTCCACTACCACCCACAGGACGGGTATGAGGGTCCACTACCACCCACAGGACGAGTATGGGGTCCACTACCACCCACAGGACGGGTATGGGGTCCACTACCACCCACAGGATGGGTATGGGGTCCACTACCACCCACAGGATGGGTATGGGGTCCACTACCACCCACAGGATGGGTATGGGGTCCACTACCACCCACAGGATGGGTATGGGGTCCACTACCACCCACAGGACGGGTATGGGGTCCACAGGAGATGAACTAAGCATCATGACCTCACCTTCATCTCCGGTGCCATGCTCTTGGTGGGAGCAGCCTCCACCTCCACAGCCTCCACCTGCTTGGGCAGCCCATCACCATCTGAAACATGACAACACTTCTAGTCTCCAGTGCTACACTAAGTATTTTGACTTAAATTATTCCCCTTAGGGGCCACCATCTGTACTGGTCTCGACGGGGATGTGAAGCCGGCGGCTTGTCAGAAAGTTCCTCACAGTGTTCCTGTTTTGTTAAATAGCTGGGAATTGAAATAACTAGCTTATCAGATAAATAGTAAACGAAGGTATTCAAGACCTAAGGAAAGGTTATGTTTGGTCCCGGTGATTCAAGCACACTCTGGCCTTTAGTAATAAGTGTAATTAATAACTTTAATTATAAATAAAATCAATTTGACTGTAATAATAAGGGTAATAAACATAGGTTTTACCCTGGGTAAAATAACTTGATAACATTAACGTTATCAAGTTACCAACGTTAACAATGAACTGAAACTTAAAGTTGAATAAAATGACCAAGTTTAACATGGGGAGATTAACCTTGTATAATAAACTTGGTTAAGTTTAACAAGGGTCAATTAACTCATGTATAACTTGCAGAGAGTAAGCCTAACAGTGGAGGCTTACCACCTAGCAGTAAATATGTACCCGGGAGTTGAGCCACTGTTGGAGGGTTGTATCCTGGGGAGGGTCAGTGGTTCCCTCTTGGAGGACCTCGTTACCAGCCTGCACGCACGCACACACGCACGCACGCACGCATGCCTCCCTTACCACCCTGCACGCACGCACACATGCCTCCCTTACCAGCCAGCACGCACGTACACATGCCTCCCTTACCAGCCTGCACGCGCACACACACGCCTCCCTTACCAGCCAGCACGCACGCACGCACGCGCACGCACGCACGCACGCGCACACACACACACCCACGCCTCCCTTACCACCCTGCACGCACACACGCCTCCCTCACCAGCCTGCACGCACACACGCCTCCCTCACCAGCCTGCACGCACACACGCCTCCCTCACCAGCCTGCACGCACACACGCCTCCCTCACCAGCCTGCACGCACACACGCCTCCCTCACCAGCCTGCACGCACACACGCCTCCCTCACCAGCCTGCACGCACGCGCGCACACACAGACCTCAGAATGGCGGGAAGTCACCAGTGGAGTCCCACAGGGCTCTGTGCTTGGACCTATCCTGTTTCTGATATACGTAAATGATCTCCCAGAGGGTATAGACTCATTCCTCTCAATGTTTGCTGACGACGCCAAAATTATGAGAAGGATTAAGACAGAGGAGGACAGCTTGAGGCTTCAAGACCTGGACAAGCTGCAGGAATGGTCGAACAAATGGATGTTAGAGTTTAACCCAAGCAAATAAAATGTAATGAAGATAGGAGTAGGAAACAGGAGACCAGATACAAGGTATCACTTGGGAGATGAAATACTTCAAGAGTCAGAGATAGAGAAAGACCTGGGGGTTGATATCACGCCAGACCTGTCCCCTGAAGCTCATATCAAGAGGATAACATCAGCAGCATATACCAGGTTGGCTAACATAAGAACGGCCTTTAGAAACTTGTGTAAGGAATCTTTCAAAACATTATATACCACATATGTCAGACCAATCCTGGAGTATGCGGCTCCAGCATGGAGTCCATATCTAGTCAAGCATAAGACTAAACTGGAAAAGGTTCAAAGGTTTGCCACCAGACTAGTACCCGAGCTGAGAGGTATGAGCTACGAGGAGAGACTACGGGAATTGAACCTCACTTCGTTGGAAGACAGAAGAGTTAGGGGGGGACATGATCACCACATTCAAGATTCTCAAGGGAATCGACAGGGTTGATAAAGATAGGCTATTTAACACAAGGGGCACACGCACTAGGGGACACAGGTGGAAACTGAGTGCCCAAATGAGCCACAGAGATATTAGAAAGAACTTTTTTAGTGTCAGAGTGGTTGACAAATGGAATGCATTAGGAAGCAATGTGGTGGAGGCTGACTCCATACACAGTTTCAAGTGTAGATATGATAGAGCCCAATAGGCTCAGGAACCTGTACACCTGTTGATTGACGGTTGAGAGGCGGGACCAAAGAGCCAGAGCTCAACCCCCGCAAGCACAACTAGGTGAGTACAACTAGGTGAGTACAAACGCCTCCCTCACTAGCCAACACGAAGGGGTCGAGTGAACGTATCAACCTGGAGGACAGAATGGCCTTGGGCTTGAAGGATATGTTTAATATCCTCGAGGCAGTCTTTCAGGTCCCTAACACCAGTTGCAACATGGTGTGGGAGGATAACAGTGCCAATACTGGCCTGTTTTGGAGACCCTAACAAGGGTATCCCCAATGCTGGACAATGCAGCTAAGCGAGCTGCTGCATCCTGAGAAGGACCAGCAACGACAGGTGTACCAAACGGGTGGGGGTTAACAGTAACAGAGGCATCTACCAAATCAATGAGGTGTTTATGGAGGAAGAAATCGTCTGGAAGTGTAGAATCCAGATGGTTGAGATCAAAGTGTTTAGTCCATGTAGCAGGAACAAACAAGACATGGAATGTATTAGCACTGCAAGGAATCATGCAAGTATGTGGGGGGGCGGGAGGTTGTTCTATGCTGAGCACCCTAGTGAGAGGGGGGGGGGTTGTTCTATGCTGAGCACCCTAGTGAGAGGGGGGGGGGGTTGTTCTATGCTGAGCACCCTAGTGAGAGGGGGGGGTTGTTCTATGCTGAGCACCCTAGTGAGAGGGGGGGGTTGTTCTATGCTGAGCACCCTAGTGAGAGGGGGGCGGGAGGTTGTTCTATGCTGAGCACCCTAGTGAGAGGGGGGGGGGGTTGTTCTATGCTGAGCACCCTAGTGAGAGGGGGGGGTTGTTCTATGCTGAGCACCCTAGTGAGAGGGGGGGGGTTGTTCTATGCTGAGCACCCTAGTGAGAGGGGGGGGTTGTTCTATGCTGAGCACCCTAGTGAGAGGGGGGGGTTGTTCTATGCTGAGCACCCTAGTGAGAGGGGGGGGGGTTGTTCTATGCTGAGCACCCTAGTGAGAGGGGGGGGGGGTTGTTCTATGCTGAGCACCCTAGTGAGAGGGGGGGGGGGTAAAATGTGCAGTTGTCACAATGAGAGAAGTAGCTGCTCCAGGTGATCACCACTGGGGGCTTGGGGCTCAACCCTGCCACAGAAGAGAGAGGGGAGCAGAGTGGGGTAGTCAGGAGGGTCAAAGGAAGAGCTTGGTCTGGGCCCAATGTAGTGGGGGCTACAGAGCCCGGTCTTCCAACACTGTCCAACTCAGGGGTCTGGTTGCCCGCCCCACGAGCCTGGGAAGTTACAGTAGGATCATTCAGTGTCATAGAAACGAGTTGGTAATAATGACCTTCACAAATAAGCCCCCATACCCACCATGGAGCCATAATTAGAGGATAGGACACCCGACAAGCCAGCCTCCCCCCCCCAGGGGTGCATCATGACTATACGCCTCACAAATGCCACCTTAAGAACCATCAGTCCGTTGAGATCGGGTTCAGCAACGAAGGCGACGATTGACAATAAAAGCGCCCTCTCGCTCACAACGTCAGGCACCACAGGTCTATGGGTTAGAGAGTGTGCTTCTCAAACACCCAGGCGTCAAAACAGATAATGGCAAAAGAATGGCAAAAATGGCAAAAGGTCAGCGGGAAAGACAATGACAAAGGAGAAGAGGGGGGGGGGAGACAAAATGGATTTTTACTTTACAAAACTTTACAAGACAGCATGTCAGGGGACCCACAAGAATGAGAGGCAATGATGAAACAGCGAAACTCGACCTAGTCTTCATTCTGAACGAAAAAGGGAAACTATGAGGAGATAAGAAAATTCCTAACAGACGTAACTTGGGAAACAGAGCTCAGAGGAAAGACGGACCAAGACATGAAGGGCTACATCAAGCAGAAGTGTAAGGAAGCATGTTTTTTTGTTTTATTCACAGTCCAAAAGAAAAAACCCAAATGCAGACGAGAAACCCATGGTTTAATCAAAGATGTTGACAGGAGAGCTAGGGAAGATATGATCCCTACCTACAAACTTCTAAGAGGAAACGACCGGGTAGATAAATTGTTTAACATGGGGCGTACAAGAACAAGAGGACACAGGTGGAAACTGAGTTCCTAGATGAGCCACAGGGACGTTAGAAAGAACTTTTTCTGTCAGAGTAGTTAACAGGTGGAATGCATTAGGCAGTGATGTGGTGGAGGCTGACTCCATACACTGCTTCAAATGTAGATATGATAGAGCCCAGTAGGCTCAGGAACCTGTACACCAGTTGATTGACAGTTGAGAGGCGGGACCAAAGAGCCAGAGCTCAACCCCCGCAAGCACAACTATGAGTATACACACACACAAACAATGCCTCCTTCACCAACCTGCTCACACAATTGGAACTGAGGAAGGTCCGACCACACAAACCACACACTCAACAATCACACAGACTCCAACTTGGTAAAGCAGCGCGCGCGCACGCACACACACACACACACACACACACACACACACACACACACACACACACACACACACACACACACACAGCTCCGAAAGTCTACTTGGGTACGCTTTCTCATCAAACTGACCACAAAATCAAAATATACCAACACCATATTTAGCAATTAGCAAAAGCCACCAAATCCCAGAAGACTATGAAGCCAAAATTATGGAAAGTGACGTACCAACCAAGTAATTATCTAAGAAGATATTAAAGGTTCCATGGATTTCTATATATACGTAGAAATATAAATGTCTGTGTTTTTCAAACTCAAAACACACGTGCAGAGAAAATTTTAATTATATGCAACCCGTTCTCGGACCAAGTCCATTCCACCCAGCGGTCGACCCCAAAGATGCATTCATCAATTTTAACATGCTGTTCATTCAAAACAGAACTTTTCTCAAATATAAAATAATATATTAGCATACTGTGCATATTTAGGCAGTGGTTAGGTTAGGTGTTTAGGCTCTGTTGGCGATTATTTGTATTCGTAGTACGTGTGTGAAGCATTTACAGCGTTATAGTTCGAACAAAAGTCGTCAGAGAAGCACTTGTTCCGGA